CTTTTCCTTTCACTAGGTATGAGCATATATATAAATATATATGTTTGTGTGTGAAACAATCGCTTTAAAACCCTTCATGCCCTGGCATCTCCTTACCTCTCTGACCCTTTTACTTCCCAACCCACTACCCGCTGCCTCCCCTCGACTAGCTCCTGCATGTCCCATTGGTGGCTGCACTTCCAGCCACTACGCCCTGAAATTCTGGAACACTTCCTCTATCTCTTCTCCTTGCCCCTTCCTTCCACATCTTCATATCGCAACTGAAGAACTTTCTCTTTGACCGTGCCTACGATCACCTCCCCACTCCCCCTGGCTTGGCATCGTGTTCCGCCACTATCAAGTGCTCTGGGACGCTACCCTGCATGAGAGGCACTATCTAAATGCAAGTTGTTGTTGAAACAAATGGTTCAGGGTAGGTGTTTGCAGAGCACAAGATTTAGAGGGAATATACAGAAGGTTTCAGAAATATCAAGGGCTGTTTCACTGACTTTGTGTTGGGCAAATAGAATTATTCCAGTTTGGACGAGGGACTGAAATACCAGATTTGATCAGAAATATCAGATCAAATAACTGACCAATTTGTCTTCGGCTCCGAAATGATGAACAAGTTGTTCCTCATGTTGTAATAAAGGAATGAATGTTTGACCTGACATGTATATATGTTGAAGTTAAGCTATAATGCTGTGTCTCTCACCCCCTAAATTAGAAATAACTATCACAAGATCATTAAGGTATTCAGATGAGGAAGTCACTTTAACCCATTTAATCTCAATTTTGGAGTAAACCATAGAAATCTATGCCTTTCGGATCAAAAGTAAGTGCCTGCTCCACCAATGAAACCATCCATCCTCATCTCAATTCCCTGCACTTTCCCTCTACCCTTTAATAACCTTCCTCTGGAAGAGACAATGATGAGTCCTGTGATCTTTTCCATTACCCATGTATTCCTATGACAGAAAAGATATGGCCAAGTTAAAACAAACCTTAAACTACGCTATCTCTCATGCCCTTCAATGAATGCATTCACTAAATAGCCATTAAATCCTTTCTTGTTAGTGCTAATGTTGTGTCTAGCATGGCCTGAATACCAAGTTTAAACTTATAGTCCATACTAATACCCCTGTCCAGTGCAGGACTGAGGGAATGCAGCTTTGTCAGCGATGCTATCCTTCATTGAGAAGTTAAACCAAGGTCCCATTTGGTTGTTCAGGCGGACATTAAACAACACTATTCAAAAATCGAAGGGAGCTTCTCCCAATCTCCTGGCCCACATTCCTTGAGATAAAATTGTTCATTCATTGAATGGTTGTTCATGGGATCTTGCAGTGCGCAGAATTAATATTGTATTTGCTTAAGAACACAAAGCCTATACACTGAAATTCCCTGTGAGGTGCTTTGAGAAGTGTTGACCTTACGGCACTATACCAAATTCAATCAAAGGATAATTACATTGTTATAGCCACTGGCTATCTTTATTATGGACATATTTGGAGCTGTGATATGAATATGCCATTTGTTCTTGCTCATTTGTTTTTAAAATTGAAGAACATTGACTCATTTTCTATAAATACCTGGACAGAGCACTTGTCTGAATGAAGGCGAATTTCCAATGGGTCAGATCCAGCCTTTCCTAGTTCTGATGGATTCAGAGGATCAATCCAGTGGGATTTTATCCAGACGAGATGAATCTTTTCAAAAAGGATTTGGCGAGAAACCATCCTCTTATTATATGAATTAAATGCTCAAGTAGACAATATGCATCTACAGTCAGAACTATTATTTCTTCTATCGAAAGCTATTTTTAAAAAAAGTATTCTTATGTCTTGCTGAGAAGTGGGATGGAGACCCAGAAGTCACTTTTGGTCAGTTCTCTTTCTTGGACTCTGCCCTTTACACCCCAGCTTGTTAGACCCAAGGGTTTACTAGTAAACATTGCAAATCCAGCTGTGTTAGTTTTACTAGCAATAAGAACAGTGTGCCTCCACTTCCCTTCTTCCTCCCACTCCATTCTTAGTCTCAGTCAGGACCCACGAGGACGGTAATGATAACTCTAAGCTTTCCTCCTTCTCATCTCTTTGTGGTGGGAACATTGTTCCTGAGTCGGTCCCAGTGTTAACGTAGGTGGGGGCCATACCCTGAGAGGGAGGCGGAAGGATTCTGGCACAAAGTCTAGGAGATTATATTCTGAGCCTCTTGCTTCTGCAGTGCACTTAAAAATTCCAACTCTATTAGTGTGGGGTCGGTACTTAAAATTCTGAGTAAGTTTTCAATTCCCCTCTCAGCTTGAAGCAGTAAGGCTTTGTCTTGTGTCCTGGCTAATAAGTTGAATGGACGCACGGGCAGGTTAAAAAGGACCAATTGTTAAACACAAACTTGGATTTGGAGGATGCCCATTTTTAGTCTACGTAAATATAGAGCTTGAATTTAACATGGTTCAGCTTTAATAGGAATTTTAATTTACAGCACTGAACAGAGCAAATTGTTCTCGAAGCTCCTGGGACCATAGAAATTTCATGTCAATATAAATATTACATGGACGGCAGGTTAGTCTGACCAGGCATTCAGGCGTTTTGCTTGATTTACCCTGGGGACAGGGAGAAGCTTTGCAGAACTTTTCTTCACAGGGATGAAATGGTTTGGGTAGAGTCCAAGATGGAACGTTATTTAAAATGGTCTGTGGCAGGAAGAGGCATGATAGGCCAAATGTCTTCAGTAATTTGGATGTGTGTAGCCAGAGATGTAGACCAATTTCCATTATACCAGACCACTTGTGGTTGGACATACACACCCTCAACTGACCCAGATACATGCATCTTCTTTTTCCATCACTCCCTTCCCATATATGTAAGATGTGGCACATACTGGTGATTTTTTTTACCCCAATCAGATCAAATTTCAATAGAGTATTTCTGAATATTTATTTTTTCAAGATTGTAACCTTCTTAGTCAATCAGCCATTGAAATGTGAAAACTGAGTTCGACAGAATAATCTGAAGGCTGTTGGTACTGTAAAAAGTGACTATTCAGTCGTTGACTGGGTGGGGCTGAGGTTTGAAACATTCTTCATCAAATGGGTTGAATCAGTCATAGGAAGTTGCTTCTGGTTATTGCCTCCAGAAGAAGACGGTTGGTTTCATTTGCTCTGTGGTGACTGATGTACTTTGAAGCATTTTGTGGTTTTATATGGAGGGTTTGCCTCTTTCCATGGACTGAGCCCAGCACTTGTGCTCTGTTCCAGATGACTGCCCTACAGTCCTCTCACTGCCTTTCACTTTAACCCTGTGTAGCCCCTGCAGAATGAGAGCCAGAATATAATTAGTTTTTAATTGCAGAGTACAGCTAATTTCAGTATGGATGAAAGTACAGGTATCAAATTGATACTGGCACATTTTATTTTACTATCCAACACATATTGGATCAATAAATCTACACTTGAGTGGCATAGTTCATTGCGACACTGTCCTTTCATTTGTCGGACCTGTATTTAATCCAATTTGAACTGATGAGATGAAAGTCTCCAGTGTTCAGTGTTAGTGAGGACCAGATTCTTTCAGTTCTGAACACAAGTTGGGTTTGTACACTCTTGAAATGGCTTCTTTTATCTCACGCAAAGGAAACAAGGGCCTCGAAATAGAATCAGTTCACAAGTTTCCCGGGATTCAAAAGATAATGGATAAAGTAACCCGTGTGAAAGGATCGACGATCACAGGAACTTCTTACAGGGTGGGTTTTGTGCAGAATGGACCAAATGTCAGGGGTTAACTTTTATCCTGACCCCACTTCTAATGGTCCCTGAAGATCGGCAACAAACTTCTCCAGTAAAATGTAGCAGTTCTTCTTTTGTGTAGTTTCATTGTGAAAAGGTGCAGATGTGGTAAGTGTATCTGCACCTTTTCACATTGAAACTACACAAAACAGTAAGACACTAAACTGCCCTATACTCTTATAATGTATAGGACAGTACAACGCTCTGGGATGCTACCCCACGTGAAGGGAGCTATATAAATGCAAGTTGTTACGGATACGGCAACCCATCACAGTGCTTAAGGGTCTAGGAATAGAGGCTCTAAATTTCGAAACAAATGCAACTCTGCTGGTAAAATCACACTGCACAGTACCGTACCAAGTTCAGTCTTGGGAACTGTCTGTTTCTGATTGTCTGCCAAGACACCTCTGGCCAGCAAAGTGATAGAAATGATAAACAAAGGCAAGCAGTGTTACATTTGTATATATTATTAAAAAATGCCTTCTGCAGCTTGTTCTATGCCCTACCACATTGGGCGGTGGAGATGATCGATGGCGAAATTTCCACTCGTTGTGTTAGTAACAAACTGCAGTTTTGCTGTGTTATCCTATAAATTCAGGAGTTTGACATCCTGGTAACATAATGCAAGGCTATAAATGTTTTGTGGTAAAACCATGGATTGTTATGTTTAGCGTTGCCCAGAGTGTTACACTGATGAGGTGCAGCCAGGGCTGGTTGGGGCTGCATGAGGGGCAATATATAAATGCAAGTTGGTCTTGTTGGTGGAAGCAGTGTTCTGCGAGATTAGTGCACGCATTGTGCCTGAAACAAGACATTGAAAGTATGGCTGTAAAAGCTTTCTGTGCAGCAGCATGTAAGGTGAGGGCTATTGACATAGAAAAAATTGCATTTAAGCCAATGGTATATTTACATTGTTCGTTGTTTGCGGCAAGATTGGAAAAGGTCAATCTTCACAACGTCAAACTGTGCATCAAATGAAATCCTTATTTTATCCTGCGAGGACTGACGTTCTCAATGTGCCCACGTTGTGTGAATACCACAATCCCTTCCCATAACTAGAGAGCAGAGGGTGTATTTTTTTTGGTGATCAGAGGTTAGGCCTGCTCACCCCCATTAACCGAATTCCACCAAAATGTTCCACTCAGGGAATAAGGGTTGTGCCCACAGACAAAACCGAATTTCCTCCCCACCCCCTCCCCCAACTCTTCTAGGACCCAAATTGTCAAAGGACAATATGGACCTGAACCACTTCTTCACGACCACCCAAGCAAGTCAGGTGATGGGAGGGCCTCTACGCCAGCAGCAAACCTGGGCAGAGCCTAGTGACCAATGCTCAAGTGAGCTCTTCATTCCAGTATCTCCCCTTCCTCTATGCATAGGGACACGTACAATAGGATCTCTATGGCTTCTGTCACTGCTTATGATCTGGAATTTAGTGGAATTTTAGCCCTCAGCTTTTTAATATGAATGCGATTGATGATGAATGTGAGTGAGTGCATTAATTCAGTCTTTATTAACCTAATATTTCATGAATGCTGACCCCAGTCCACGTTTTCCTGGAGCTTTCATTTTATAAACGTGATCTGTTGACGTATATCAATTTTAGGTACATAACTTAACCCCAAATCCAGTTTGTTTAACTCATGGAAATGTAATTATTTGTTCATCGTTACTTCCCAACTTGCACTGAAAGCCAAATTTATTTTAGTCTGTGTCACCAACCGCCCTCTCAATATCCTCCACAGTGCACTGTCTTCAGCTAAAAATACATGGGAAAAATGAATAAACTTTCCAGCCATACAGCTCCAAGAGAACTCACATTACACTCCATAAACTGGGACCGCCTGTCTGTGCAATTGCACTCTATACACTGCCTGCCTGTCTCTGATCATACCCCATACACTGGGACTGCCTGTCTCTGTGATAATACCCCATACACTGGGCCTGCCAGTCTCTGTGATAATACCCCATACACTATGAATGCTTGCCTATGTCATTACACTCTATACACTGACCGCCTGACTGTGCCATTACACGCTATACAGTGTGACAAAAACAACAAATGACATAGACACAGCGCCTTTCATGTCGGGAGGAGGTCCCAATGCGCTGAACAATCAGGGATTTGGATCCAAGCAGGGGATTGGGATCAGGTGGGGTGGAGGTCAGGGAGGGTAGTGGTAGGAGGGTGACTGAAGGTGTATTTGAAGAGGAAGGTCTTATATATAATATGTCCTTGGGAGTACGGATTAGAATTTGTGCACCATTGCCTTTCAGTAAGCACCTGGTATTGGGACAAATTGTGTATCCGAGGTCAGGAAAACCAGCTGGATCCCAAATAGCCAGAACAAAACCAGTCAGTCAATCTGGCACTGAATTTGAGCATGTAATTCTATTGAATTACTATGTCTGTAATGCTTTTGTGTGGGAGTGTAGTTGTAAGATTGAATCTGATTGTAAAACTTAATCAGTGTGTGGGTGTGTATGTGAAAGTGATGTTGAGATTCCGTGGTGGCTCAAGAGGTTAAACCTGTGCAGCCTAACTTCTAATTGGTTCAAATCTTTAAAATCAATGTATTATTTATTGTGCCTGCTTTGCTGAAAGGAGTCAATTTGTCTCTATTCTGGGTTATTCGGGGGAGTGGGATTGATTTGGGTAGCTCTTTTCAAAAAGCCGGCACAGACACGATGGGCCGAATAGTCTCCTTCTGTGCTGTATAATTCAATGATTTCACACTTTACCGTATTTTAGTGAATTTATCCCCATGTACTTAGGAACAAATAATTAATTTAAAGTTAAAAAAAGTTAGGCTAAATTACAAATATAATATTTAATTGTTAGGCAACGTTTTAGTAAATTTAGTTAGAATGAGGCATCATACCCTAAGCCTAACATCAACACGTTCCCTTTGTTACTGAACGGAACAAGACTAACCCTCAATGTTACTTCTCTGTGCTGCGGCACTGCAGTTTGTACTGCAGTCTAATTGTGGAATCCACGCACAATCCTGTCAAGGCAAAGAGTGTCTGCTGGCTTTTCACTTGAGGCCAGTGCTTGTAATGATATTGATTTGGAACAGAACAGAGTAAGTACATTGATCTCACAAGCCTAATTCTGCTAGTTTATTGCACTGTGGCATATCTTTTAGTGCCATTTCCCTTTTCGCGATAGCCCAAATACCCTTACTTCCCACGCATCTACTGTTTTTTTTTAAAACATCTCAGTTGATTCTGAGTCTGCGGTCTTTTGTGGCATCCCACGTGTGCGTCCCACACCTATCCATGCATGTGTGTCGCACATTTTCACCAACCATCTGTATGAAGAAATGCCAGGAAGAGAGCTGGAGAGATACAGCTGAGCTATGACACGGTTATTTAATTTAACTCAACTTCAAGATCAAGAAGTAAAAGCCAAAGTTTGATACATGTGCATAACTCTGTCTGTGTGATCAGCCTTTATGCACTGACTGTCTGTCTATTTGATTGCACTCTGTGCCACTGTGACACCCGTCTGTGGGAGTATTGACCAGAATTAGTGCACCGATGCCGTACATGTGAATCTGCAAACACAAAGTGGTTGGGTAGAGGTTAAGAGGCCCTCCACCTTTCAGATTAATGTTACGTTCTACGTAAGTTGCTGCCTGTTCCTTATTATAACCATCTGTGTCAGCAAAGCCCTCCACCCTCACTCAATGACTTCAGTCTCTGTGTTACTGTAAAGCAGGTTGGCATGATGCACATTTGCCTTACATCTGTTGTTAATTAGTCTAACTTTTCCAGGAGTGGCTGTAAATAACCTGCCTGATGAAAATGACCCACACTTATGAGGAGGCTTCTACAGGGTTGAATTGTGGTGACAGTGTGCGGTTTGACAAAATGAGTGAATTATTCTCATGGGTTTTGACATATTCGTCTTAACTGAGGTCAGTGTCTCTTGGTCTCACAAGAAAAGATTATTAGCTCATCAAAAAAGAAAGTTGACAAGGATGCCATTTGGCCCACTGTGTCTGTACTGACATTAGTGTCTCCCACCCATGCTATCAGCCCTAGTCCTCCTTCCCTTTTTAAATGTTGTTGTTTCCCCGAACCATTTATTTACCTAATTCCTTTCCGAGTTAGATAAATACAGGGGTGGGGCGGGGGGGTGGTGGCTCAAAGCAGCACAAAGGACCTGCGAGAGACCAGAAGCCAGTACTAACAACTGCCCCCAAAAAGTGGTCAGCGCTGGAGCGGCTCTGGACGTGCTTGCGCAGTGCAGACAATCAGGAAATGGGCTTCACTCGGAGGCCCCGCTGTCTGTGTGTGTGTGTGTGCTTCACATTCCCCACCTTGCCCACTCCACCATTGGCAGGCCTTCAGTCTCTCTCTGTCCCCTCCCTCTGAAACTCCATCCCACAGTCCCTCTGCCTCACCCCTTGCCTCCTTCCAACACCTGACCCTCCTCTATGACCGTGCCTTCAGTCACCTACCTACACCTCCCCTCCCCGCCCTTTACCCCTCCTGATCCCAGCCACCAGCTCGGGTACGGATTCCTATCTGTCCAGCGCCTTGGGACGTCCTGACGTGAAAGGTGCTATACAAATGTAATTTGTTGTTGGTATGTGTGTGTGTCCCTATGTGTTTGTGAGTGTGTCTGTGTGCGTGTGTCTGTGTGTGCGTGCGTATCTCCTGTGTTTGTGAGTGCATGTGTGTCTTTCTCTCTGTATTTATGAGTGTGTGTCTCTCCTCTGTATGTGTCTGTTTGTGAGCGTCTCTGTGTGAGTGCGTTTCTCTCTATGTATGTGTGTCTCTTCTATATACGTGTGTGTTTGTGAACGTCTCTGTGTGAATGTGTATGTGTGTGTCTCTTTCTCGTGTGTGTCTTTGTGTCTGAGTGTGTGTGTGTGTGTGTCTCTCGATCTGAGAATGTGTGTTTCTCTGTCTGTGTGTGTCTGTGCCTCTCTCTGTCTGTGTGTGTCTGTGCCTCTCTCTGTCTGTATGTGTCTGTGCCTCTCTCTGTCTGTGTGCGTCTGTGCCTCTCTCTGTCTGTGTGCGTGCGTGTGTCTCTCTCTGTGTCTGTGTGCGTGCGCGTGTCTCTCTCTGCGTCTGTGTGTGTGTGTGTGTCTCTCTCTCTGGGTCTCTGTCTGCGTGCAGTGTCTCCCTGGTCCTGAGTGTTTTTTTTCGTAGATCTCCAGGCTCTTCGGACCTGCGCTGGTGTACCCCCCTCTTAAAGAATAAATTAATTTAAAAAATTGCAACAATCTAATGTGTGTTACTTCCTCATATTTAGTTTTTATCAATTAAGTGACAGGATGTAGGTTGGCAGTAAAATGTACCTCAATAGCACCAATTGCAATACCACCTCAATTTTGGGCAAATATTTCTGCATTTTTCTATTGGCCCAGGTTATGATCTATTGGCTAAAATCAATACACTTGGGTGGGGGGGAGGTTTGTGCAGAGCAATTTCACCTTGTAGCTAGTTGGTGTATTACAGGAGATTTTGTGTAAAACTAAGAACGTTGTTTATGTCACAAAATTATGCTGGCAATAATTTAAGCTGTAATGCAAATTATACCCCAGTGTTTCTGGGAATATGGATCAGGTCAGAAACCTAGTGCCTATTTTCCAAATCAAAATCCCTAGAAGATTACAGCAGTAGAGTCATAGACACTTTGCCAAACCCACTTTGATTACATTTGAAGTGAACTTTCCATTTGCTCAGATACTGACTACTTTCATCAACAAACTCTACTAACACAAATAAATCAGACAAGCTATTTTCACAAGGAATTTCTAGTCCTTAAAAAAAACTTCCAATCAATCTTTTTTAACTGTTATCTTTCACTCAAAATACAGATTTAGTTTAATTATTATGTTTCCAGAAATGTGTTTTAGGGGAGTTTTATCCTTTAAGAATTTGTCCTTTAATAAATTATTGTTAACTCTTTATTTTGCCAAATATAAAGAATCTGTGGCAGATTTGCACTGGTTATATGCCAATCTGTAATATGACGCATGTATTTCCATGAAGCACAGTCATTAAAGTCTGAAATTCCATCTGCCTTACCCTGTAAGATCATTGTGTATTCATATATAAGATGGTTTAAAATTGTAGAAAATTCTTAAATGAAGTCTTAATTTGCGAGTCACATTTCCCCAGCTCTAGAAAAGAACCGGCTTCCAACTTAAAAACTTTACAATTGTGACCTAGTGTAGTGAAGCTTTACTTAACGTTCATTAGAAAATGTTCCACCCCATTTGGTAAAGGAATTAATTCCCCTTTTGACACATCCGTTCTAGACAATGACAGGAGTGTTCTCCGACTTAAAGTTTGTCTTTATTGTTACAGAGAGCACAGTGTGCTTGGTGCGCTCAGAAGCATCCTACTGCTTTGTATTTAATTCCTACTGTGGCTTTACGTTGCCAACCGTCCCAATAGCTTCTGGTGTGTCATCATCATCATCAATAGCCTCTGGTCTGGCACATAGGAGGGTGTTGAAACTGAACCCTCCCTTGTGCTCAGTGATGAATTTCATTTAATTTCATGAAAATTTAATGCCCATTTTCAGGTCGCGCCTGAAGAACTTCCTTTTCGACTGTGCCTAAGGTCACCTCCTCCTCTCTTCCCCCCCACCCATGCACGTTGATGTTAATAATATTTGTGTGACAAAGATTCTGCTGTTGCAAGCTCCTCTGGGCACATCTTTGTACCCTTGCCTCTCTCTGGGGGGCAATCGTTTTGCTTTAGGTATTAGTATATGCATGGGAAGATATTCTACCTGTGTCTAAATGTACTCTGTTTATGTTGCATTTTAGGGCATCCAGAATTTGACAAATTCTTAAATAAAGCACCTTAATTTTGGAGCCAGTTCATTTTCGTTTCTCTGCAGCAGAATGCAACATTTTTTAATATCACCGCCAACACCTTTGGTACTAATACCACTGAATAACAATTCTGTCCCTTTCAGTTCGATGATGAGGTGGAAGCTGATGCCACGCTAAGAATACCACAACAGAAATGGCAATGATGGGTCACACTTTTTACAAGTGGCAGATTGTTTTCGATTGAAAAAACGATCCATCTGTTCCCTCAAATCCCACTTTCACAGCTAAACTTTGAAAGTAAATTTCAGTGACGTATCGTGTAAACCTATGCAATCATCAGGGTTAGAGACTCCAGCTGCTCCACTGAACTGAGGGCAGTAATAATAATAATTCTTACATTTGATATAGCGCTTTTCACATCTTCTAGATGTCTCAAAGCGCTTCACAGAATATGCTGGAAAGTGAACTGACTGTATATTTGTGGACGAAATGCGGCAGCCAATGGCGCAAAGCAGTGTCCCACAAACAGTCGTGGATTGAAAGTGACCAATTTATTATTGAATTGATAAGTTAATACATTAATTATTTATTAAATTTATTTATTCAAAAATACATTACATGACAAAGTGGTGTATCAAATGCAAGGATTATTAGAGTAAATCGAGATCCAGGTGAAGTTTCTCCCCAGTCGAGTAGCCAATAAATGGTTTCCATTGTTCCTTCTGGTACTGTCTCTTGCATTTGATTTACTGTGGTGCCTTTTCGCGTCATTGAGATGTCTCAAAGCACTTCACAGAATATATTGTAAAGTGGATTGACTGTGTATTTTGTGGACGAAACCACTTGCATCTCTTGCATACATATAGGAAATTTGTGTGCAGGCTTGATGGCACAGCATAGTCCTTTAACAAGCGCCTGCAGGGTAAAAGATAAGGAACACATTTTAAGTTACTGGGACTATATGTCGGTGGAGTGGTACCTTTACTGTGGTCTGGTAATCTTTCTGAAAAACTGACACATATAGTCAATAGAAGTGCAAGTTAACAGTTTGTGTCCTTTAATTTGGGCTCAGGAATTCTGCTTTGACAGATCCTCAGTGTGAACAAAAACATTCAGAAAATCCAAACTGTAAATACACTCTGAAGATAATTACTTTTATTGTAGGGCCTTTGATAATCTTCAACTCAGAGCATTCGCCTTCCGCATGGAGAGGTCCCGGTCTTTGATTTGAAAAGCACCTTTTAAAACAAATGTTGGCGAACTTAAGAAAGTTTGCGAAACAAAATGGACCATTTATCTCACAAAACCATCTCCTTTCACAGCGTATGCATTGTAAAATGTACCCTATAGTGGACATCCTCCGCTGTGCTAATCTCTTGCGAAATATATTTCCTGACTTCTTATCCTCAATAGTAATCGAGTCTAAATGTACCCCCATTTATTCACCATTCAACTCCATCTCTATATTCTACCCAAACAACATTCCCTTCCACCCATAGGGCCAGTTGCACAGAACAATTGAGCTCCAATTTTACTTGGAGAAACTCCAGATTTCATTTCAATTGTTGTCTACCCTAATTACATTGGAATGATTCAGATTCCTCCTTGCTAATAAACACTGCTTCATTGCCATCTACAAGGCAGTTGGTATTGGAAACCGTGAAAGAAAGAAATGTAAATTTCAGATGTCAACTCTGACTCTGAGTGTGCACTTTCGAATCTTGTTGGTAGACAACCTTGTGATGGGTAATAATAATAATCCTTGCATTTTATATAGCACCTTATCACGTCGTTGCGACGTCTCAAAGGGCTTCACAGAATATACTGTAAAGTGAATTGACTGTATATTTGTGGGTATTGTTCAATACTGGCTGGATCTTGATTTGAAAGCTCACATTTTCTCTCTTGAGAATAAGAATACTCAATGGAGTGTTTAAGGCAAGAAACAATTCTCATATTGTGCCTCGCAACAGGAGGGGGAGGAGCAGAGGAAAGAGTCTTGTACTGACAGACCTCTGTTGGAATCTTGGAGGCTTCACTCTGCAGTTTGCCTGGGCAGGGTCATTAACATGAGCAGGGGAAGTCCTGGAGGTGGTTGAGAGGATAAATACAAACTGCATCTGTCAAGGGAATCTGTATCCCAACATAACAGACGTAAGCAACTGTGAGATGGAGCCAAATAGGAAATGGTACCTAGCAAGAAGACAGTGCCAAAGAAGATGATAAGAAGGAACTGGTGTTAGTTTGTTGATCTCAGTGGCAGTGCAATGGTCAGATCCAGAGTATGGTATAAAATTTAAGGAAGCTGTACTTCTTTCAACTGGAGCTGCAGAAAGGTCAAATGCTAACTTTGTATCTGAGAAAGCCCCTGTGTTTGAGAAGGACACTTGTTTGGGGGCCATTCTTTGATGTGCACTGCTGGTGAAAGAGTGCGTGTCCTCTGAAGATATTCAGTGCTGCAGCTGGAGGCACAAATGTGTTTGGTGAAACATAATGACTGGCTATTAAACCTGGAGCCACTGAGACAAGCGGGGGGGGGGCGAGTGTTCCCTCTACTCAAGTGAGGCTTTGTGATATTGAATGTGTTTTAATGGCACTGCAACCCAACAACCTTCCAGACGTTCTGTCAGGAACAAAAATTTCAGGGAAAAGTGGAGTTACTGAGGAAATGGTGAGTCATTTTATTGAGCCGTCATAAAACAGCACTTGTACTCTCTCAGTGTTTAGCGGCTCTACATGAAGTGATGAATTACAGGCTGGAGCCAAATCATTGAGATTTTTTCCATGATGAAGAAAGGGGTCTTTTTTAGCAATTTAGATTATAGATATTCTGGAGTGAATACAGGCGCAAAAGCGCACTCACTCACTCTCTTACACACACTCACTCACTCGCATTCAATCTTTCCCTCTGCAAACCCTCCTCCAGCAGAAACGCACTATGTATTTCCCCCCCCCCCGCCCCCCCCACCACCATGTATTCAGCACAGAGCTGTTACTAACTTGTTCTTTACATACTACATTTTTAAGTGAAACATTCTTTCAGGATCACTTAATGCTCTATTGATTTTTCATTTTAGTGATGTGTTCTCCTGTCTTGTGCACTTATTATTTTGCCCATCTTTATTGCAGTGTCCTTCTTTGGAGATAGCTACGTGGAGGTGAGGGAGCTTGGTGTTTTTGCTTCATTCAGTCTCTCCATAAAGTTCCTGACCAGTAGGCGCAATGGATTTCTCTTTTTGGCCGAAGGACAATCTGACTACCTGCTGACAGAGTTGCACTCTGGAGTGTTACAGGTAAAGATCCAGGTGAAATAACGTGAAAGGGTACATGTTGAACTTGGCTTCAGTCATGAGTTATAGCAATGACCAGGTACGTGAAAGGCCGGACTAACTATGAGAGTATATAGAGGAGATTTCACGTAGATCATGACTAAGGCCATTCGAGCCGTCAGGCCTTCCACAGTGCTCACAGTAGACTGAAAAGAAGTACTGTGCCCAGTGATATTAGAATGCAGAGTAATATCAGGAGTTCCTCTGCTCTCCTGATTATTACTCTAGCTTCCCAACATTAATATTAAATTAGATTCAAGACTGAGGAATATTTGCTGCTGGAGAATAACTGCACCATATTGTTATTGCTAACCCTCATGATTAAAAGTCAATATTGTTTTTCAGGTGAAATTAAAACTTGGATCTGAAGAAGCAGTAATACATTCTCTGTCTGGCCTGAAGCTTAACAACCTTGTATGGCATGATGTACTTCTTATGCACGACAACGGGATCCTGACCTTAACTGTTGATGAACTCTTCACAACTTCTGTGAAGGTGCCTGGTGAACTGAATGTGGACAATGGCCTGTATGTGGGAGGACCTGGAGAGCTGAGAAGCCCCTACTTAACAAGTGCATCCCCTCCCTTCAGAGGTTGCATTTCTAAAGCTGTCTTCAATGACAATGATATCCTAAGGCCACTCATATCACAACCCCGATATAAAACTCTGCATGAAGTAGAACTTGGATGTAGCCAGGTATTGACAGCAGGGAATGATGACCCTATCAGCTTTCTGGGACCCAAATCCTATGTCTCTTTTCCAAGCTGGAATGCAAAAGAGGAAGGGATATTCCAGTGTTCGTTGAAGACTGTTGTCCTGGAAGCCCCTTTGCTCTACCATTTAGGGCAGCAAAATAATTTTATTGCTCTTGAAATTACCCAAGGGCATTTACGCGTCATGCTCGACAAGGGAAGTGGAATTTATGTCCTCGAAAATGCCCGTTTTATTAGTGACGGCAAGTGGCACACTGTTACACTGTCAGCTCATATAAACCAGATTGAACTCATCGTAGATGGTGAAAGGGCGGAGCAGACTTTCCTAAGTGAAGATGAGGAGAACTATCTAGATCTCGAAGGGCATTTGTTTATTGGAGGAATAGATAAAAAAGTTCTAGCTGAAATAAGGAACCGGGACCTCTCCACCATACTGGGAGAACAAACAGTGTCCGGTTCCTTTGTTGGATGCATTCAAGACTTAAAGGTGAACTCAGTAAAGAAAAGTTTGCCGGACGCAATACTCACAAAGGGCATTTATACGGAGTGTGAAGATGAGGAAAGTGTGGCCAACGGGCAATTTGAGGACCCAGTAACGCCCTCTGCAAGTCACGTGCAGGTTCCGACAGCCAGCCCTACATTTGCACCGTGTTTGCTGAGCAAGAACATGCCTGAAGCCTTCAACAATTTTACTAGGCTGTTATCTCTGAGGCCATTGATTGTAAAGGAAGGAGGGGGTGCAGTTTTAGAGCTTGAACATGTCCATCCCACTCTTGATTTGAGCAGCATTAGAGTAAGACATTCCCAAGTACTTTTCAAGGTGACTGAGGATGGAATACATGGCCGCCTGAAAGTAAATCTTCCCGGTGCAAGAAGCAGGAAAGCATTTACCTTGTTGGATGTGATCAACCGTCATATAATTTACAACCATGATGGGTCTGAAGGGCCACTCGATTGGTTAACATTTGACGTATCTGTTTACAGTAAACAAGAGATCCCTGATTGTTTAAAACAGGGTCAACGGTATATTTTTACCATCAATATCACCCCAGTCAACGACCCACCAGAACTAATCTTCCCAAATGGGAATCTTATGATGATCCTTGAAAATACATGGAAAGCCCTCGGTCCTGATGTAGTCCAGGCTGTAGACGTGGATACCAACTGTGCTGAGTTGAGAATTATGGTAGTTAGTGGATCAGGTTTGGGTTATATTCATAATGTGAAGAATCCTGACCAGAGGATTGGAGAATTTTCATGTCAGGATCTTGAAGCAGGAGATATTCGCTATGTCCACAGAGGCAATGAGGATTCTCAATTAACGATGCAAGTCAGTGATGGAGAAAGAGTGAGTGCTGCTTCTCTATTGAGAATAACAGTATTGGAGCCTGACCTTCAAGTGGGCAACAATACTGGTTTAATCCTGCCACAAGGAGGCACTAGCTTTATCACCATTAGCAACCTGTCTGTGGAAACGAATGTAATGGAGCAGAGAGTGGACGTTTGGTACAATATCACCGACGTATTATACTATGGTGAGGTTCAGAAACAGGACACGGATGGGGAGTGGAAACCAGTGAATCAGTTCCAGCAGCAAGATCTAGAGCTAGGACACCTCCGCTATTTCAGCACCGATCCCGAGTCCCGTGAGATAGACATGACTGAGAGACTTCACTTTGCTGCCCGAGTTGGACAAAAGCTCCTTGAGAATAACATCTTTCTGATAAAAATAAAACGAGCCAAGATAACACTGGTAACGATGGCTCCCAATGAGCTAATGAATATAAGACGGGGGATGATCACACAAGATGCATTAGAAGCTGCGGTGGAGGACAAAACAGTTTCCGCTGACCAGTTGCGCTACGTTATTCTAAAATCTCCTGTGAATGGGAAGCTCCTGGTAGCAAACGAGGAGCTCGTGGTAGGCTCCACATTCACTCAGGAGGATTTGAAGCAAATTGGCCTCACTTATATAGCAATGATTAGGAATGCTGAAGAGACCGAAGATAGCTTCCAGTTTCAGGTCTTTTTCGAGAGCCGACATTCCCCAGTGTACACCTATCCAATTTTGATTGCCATTGACCCAGAGCTACCTGCTTTGGTGATTAAGGGTTTGGTCGTGATGGAAGGTGGCACACAATCCATCACTGAGAATGAGCTCTTTGTGAAAAGCGAATCTAGTATCGCGTTTGCGTATAACATTACTCACGGACCTCAACATGGGAAACTGATCGCACAGGCAAGTGGACAAGGACCCATCACGACTTTTACCAATGAAGATATTCTCCAAGAGAGATTGTGGTACAAGCATGATGACTCTGAAAGTGAAGAGGATGAGTTTGGTTTTGTTGTTCTGAAACAGTTCGAAGGAGAGGCTGACTCTGAGTCCAACCAGGTCCATGGCATCATGAGAATCTCCATCCAGCCCCAAAATGATCAGCCGCCAATGCAAGTGGTGGACAAGATCTTTAACATCACCGTCAATGGGCAGCGCTTGCTAACCACAGAGCAGTTGCGTTTCCACGATGCCGATTCCGATTTTGACGATTCCCAATTGATTTATACAAAGTGGAGCATCTCCAACGGTGACATTGTCTCTGCAGCTGACACTGCTCAAACACTCTCCCGCTTCACTCAGGAAGACATGGAGAAGAAGCGTGTGCTGTTCGAACACCATGGAGCCCACCGGGGGAGGTTCCAGCTGCAGGTCTCTGATGGTGTGCACCAAACCACAGCGGTGATGGACGTGCAAGCATCAGATCCCTACTTGAGATTGATCACAAACACCAAGCTGATGGTCCTACAGCGACAAGAGGCCACTATCAATGGGCTTCACCTCAGTGTGGAGTCCAACATGGACATCAGGAGCGAAGAGGAAATAATTTACCAAGTAACAGATCCCCCAGGTTATGGAGAAATTCTAGTCAACGGTGAAGTGGGGTTGGCTTTTTCACAGCAAGATATAAACCAGGGACAAGTAGTCTATCGCCACAATGGGAATAGACAGTCAAAGGATTCTTTTAACTTTCTAGTTGGAGTGAATCAGATGCAAGTGATGGGGACTTTTGGCATTCAGATCTTTTTGGAAAGTCATCGCAACTCGCCAACCGTTCTCCACAACAAAAAGCTCTTTGTTAAACAAGGGAAAGCAACGACAATTTCGAAAGAACAACTGCTAGTAAGTATGTGAATGTCCTGATTTTGCAGAGTAGACCATAGAAAGCTACAACACAAAGGGAGGCCATTGAACCCTTTGTATTAGACTCAATGTTAGCTCCTCAATCTTTTCCTGCACCCTCTAACTCTCTTCCTCCCATCATGCTTATTTAATTCCCTTTAAATGTCCCAATCAGCTTTCCTCCAACAGTCACTCTGGTAGTTTATTACCTACTCTGACAACCCTCTGGGAATTTATAATAATTCTTTCATTTGATATAGCGCTTATGTCATTGAGACATCTCAAAGCGCTTCACAGGATATACTGTAAAGTGGTTGACTGTAATTTGTGAGCGACAGTTTTTTCCCCTAACTTTCTCTTTTCACACTTCTTGTCATTTTGATATTCTTTACAGTGCTGTTGCGTTGTTAGACGTGCTGTCCTTTGGATAAGATATTAAACCGAGTTCCTGTCTCTCTATTAAGATGGACTTTAAGGATCCACAGCACTATTCAAAAAGAGAAGAGATTGTCTGGCCAACTAATCCCCCAGATAAAATTAGTCATTCACTTCATAATGTAGTAATAATAATCATAATCCTTACATTTGGTATAACTCTCTGTTGTATTTGAAGAGATTATTTGCATTCAAGGTTTGTTTGGGTCTTTGGGTAGAACACATCTTACTCCAAAAGGTGCAAAGTTCATGAAATAATTTGAATTCACTAATGAACAACAGGGGAAACTGAATTATTTACTGGGAGGTTTATGGAAGTGTTGATCCCATGTTGTTTGATTAGCTGCATCTGCTTTGAATCATTGTTTGTTTTGGAGCCAATTATTGCAAGTCCCAATATGCGGATTTATTTTGAATCACTGAAATGTTTTAAGTTTCACCTATTTAGAATGATCAGAAGGTCTTAGGGTGCAAACTAATGAAATGAATATTACACACTGGAGATCTCACACCTGACACTGAGTGTGTAACAGTTTCAAGTTAACTGAAGATTTCATAATAAGCTATAATAATTTTTTGCATTTGATAAAGCGCTGTATCACATCTTCGAGACGTCTCAAAGCGCTTCACAGGATATACTGTAAAGTGAATTGTATATTTTGTGCGCAAAACGTGGCAGCCAATTGCAGACAGCAGTGTCCCAGAAACAGTCGTGGATTGAGTGACCAATTTATTATTTTTTTTGAAGGAATTATTACCCCTGGAAAAGTGATCCACCAATTGACTAACAACCGGGTTCCTACTTATTGCGAGGTAAACAGTGGCGTGTGGAGTAAGGAAACTTGTCTTAAAGTTTCGCCCTGCCGGGAATCAAACCCAGGACTCTCGCTCGCGAGCACTGAGCTCCTTTGTCCAATGGTGGTGTCTAAACCGTGACTTAAAAGAGGAATATTTATTAATAATAATGGTAATCCTTACATTTGAAATGGCGGTTTTCATGCCGGGCAGATATCTCAAAGCGCTTCTCAGCATTTACTGTGAATTGCAGTGACTGTATTTTGTCGGTGAACGCAGCATTCAGTTTTCTGAGGGGGTTGTGGAGCTCAACTCAATCGGTTGCACTATTGACTCTGAGTCGAGCCTCACAACACCCCCCCCCTCCCGCCCCCAGATAAAATTGGTCATTTATTTTATGGCTGTTTGTGGGACTTGGCAAAGCGTAACCCAGGGCAGTAACAGAAATGTTATGATAGAATATTAAAAATAATTTAAAGGTAGAAAATGGGAAAAGAACGAAGGTTTGGAGAAGAACAAAATGGAGGAGGGGAGGAAAGACTGCGGAAGCTTTTAAGAATAAAATAGTAAATCTTCTACACCTGACTTGCTTTATTACTGTAATCAGATTTGTTTCAGCGTAAGGCTGCAATTTGGCGGAGTTTTGTGTTCTGCCCTCTTTGCTCTATGGTCTAACAGCTGTTCCTGTAAAGAGAGCCTTTGTCCTGTGAGCAGGAAGCTGAACTCTGTGTACTGTGGATGCAGAGTTCTGTCTCTGAAGAGAGAGAGAGAGAGAGCTCTCAATTACTCCAATTACACTAACCTGCTCTACAGTCGTTTGTACTTTCGTCACCGCACTCGGAAATTTGCTTTAAAATGGTCGACACTGGCCAAAGGTTCACAGACTAAAGTGATTGAGATCTTTATTTGCAACCAGATATGACATACAATAATCAGCAGACACTAAACGCACAGTATCCACAATATAAACCCAAAGTCCAAAACGAGCCCGTTCCCCTTCGTAAGCCGCTGGTTTAGTTCACAATCCATCTTCATCTCCCCTGAGTTCTCATTTCCACCTCCACCCCCACCAATCCCTCGAATCATCCTTTGTCCCTCAGGCACAGAACGTCCCGATAATGAGATTTTCTAAATTCTTTAAGCACGGAGACAGAAAAGTTCTTCTTGAGGATTGTGCAAAAGCAAGACTGAATTTAAGCTTTTTCCATGATCTTAAATTTTAAGGTAAATTGTTCTTATTTGGTTGGCATTTCTAACCTCATATTTCCCCACTGTTGTACCAGGATACCTGGCTTCAACTCCATGGGTGCCCAAATCATCAACCGGCGGGTAATATTTATTTTTCCTGACCAAACTTCCTGCATGTCCCCAAATTAAGTCCAGATAATCCACAGCCACTCCATGATCGCCGGCAGATTTCCCAGAGGCCGGACATGGATCTTACAAAATCCATGGGGTGCTTTGCACGTTCTCTTTCCCACGCCACACAGCAGTGCTGTCCTGACTGACTGATGCATCAGTTTGTTTTCCTGGATGAAGGAGAAAACCATATTAAAGACCATGACCTCAATATAGAAAACAAATGTGTACAACAAATCCCTGGATAGATGGGATCAAATGGGCTTTAAATGCCTTGTTCACATGCAATGAAGGGCTTCTCTTTGTTCTATTTGGTCAATACTAAATGGGTCCCAGGTCTCTTACCTTGTTGTCTGAAGAATTGCTGCATGTGCCTCCTTTTTGCTATTAAAGAATATTCTCAAATCAAACCCTAGGACAAATTTATAGTTGGTCAACATTCTTCTCGTGGAAAAGTAACAAAACTGAGATATTAAGCCATGTGAGCCAGGTTTAATGGAGACAATGGCCACAATAAATACTGTTAGATGGGGATATATACTGATAGACTAGGTTCAAGATGCCTTAACAACATGATTGATGCAAATGTCTTTTTTTTCTTTTCCTCAACAGGTTTCCCACAATGATAGTGCCCCGTCAGACGTGATCTACACTGTAAAAACTCCTCCACTCCATGGCCAGTTGGTTATGGTCACTGATAGCCAGCCACTGGCCAGACAGGGTCACATTCAATCATTTTCTCAGAAAGATATAAACAGGGGCAAAATTCAATACTTTAATTCCAGGCTCAGTCCTCAGGGGGATGTGTTTATCTTGGATGTAACTAACGGATATCAGACAGTGGAGGGATTGACAGTATTTGTGGAGGTCATTCCTGACGCAGTTCTCTCAGTGACACAGAATATCTCAGTCAGAGAAGGTGACCTGGAAGCCATCACTGAGCAGGTCTTAAACGTGTCAAGTTATCTCACAAACCTGAATTTGGATTTGAATTTCTTCATCGTGGAAGCTCCTCAACGGGGTATCATCGAACACCAAAGGCGTCCTGGCGTTAGATTATCTCAATTTACTATGGAAGAGGTAGGTTGGCTTTGAACACAAGATGGCTATACCTGAAGCCCATAATTCCACTGAGCCTTAGCCTTGAAGACCGTTTGGTCTTGAAATGTAAAATTGGGCAGAATTGTTAAACATTCTTTAAATTAATGTGGAAAGACTTTGTCACAGGTCAGCCTTACGTTGGGCATGTGTGTGGTGATGTATCGAGTCAGTTCTGCTAGTGTTATTTATTTTGTTGTTTCCTTAGACCTTCATGTTTCTCTGTTGTACAGGTTAAAGATGGAAGGGTCTTCTACGCTCATGACAACAGCGAAACCCTGACCGACAGCTTCACTCTTGTCCTCAATTCTTCAGCCATTGCCAGGCTCAGCCAACCAGTCACGGTAACCGTGAGTGTGGTTCCTGTGAATGATGAAGTTCCAGTTATCAGTGTGAATACCGGATTGGAGGTGAGAAAGCTGCTTGAATCACCAGTGTTGTGACTTCCAGGTGATAAGAACTGAATGCTACATCTGTGCTCTGGCACCTTCTGGTTGTCAGTTCTGGCTGGCTAGCATGTTCTTAGCAAGGAAAAGAACATGAAACATAAGAACATAAGAATTGCTAGATGAAAGAATACCAAGGTCCATCCAGTTCGCCTTCCACCATCCTGGCAGTTGCACGTACATGTCATGTCCCAAACTATATACTGTATCCCAAGATATTTTTCCTTACAAAAATCTATTATTTGGGCTGCAGTTTGCTCCTCATCCTCCTTCCCTTAAATGTTTCAATAAAAGATGAGCAGCGAAGGGCAGATTCCGCTGGTAAACTCGCTGACTTTGGGGCAAGTTGTATTTATTTGGACTTTTTTATGGTAATGTGGAGGCATTTTATTACTGCGCTTATCTGCTAATGTGATCTTCTATTCCTGTATTCACCGTGACATTAACAAGACCTCTACGAAAAAACAATGTGGGTAGGTTTTCCGAGTGTCATTAGGCACTCTGGAGACCTGAAGAGCAGCATAACTGTGACACTGGAAACAATATGTCTTATGGGCAAGATGGATTGAGGCTGATTGTTCTGTATATTTCAGAGCGCAAAATTCCCAGGATACTGTTGAAATTACCCAGAACACTCCGCTAAATAAAATACTGGATTGAGCAGTGGGCTGGTAAATGGAATTTGCTTTAGAAAAGTGTCTTGCTCAGCGAGCTGAAGAGCAAAATCATTTCTACATCAATATTCAGCAATCTGTGACGGTTACTGAACGTTGTTTAGATCCAGACTGTTCAGGCTGCTAATATTAGTCATGAAAGTAACAGACCTTGGGAATTTGTACAAATATTTCTTGCTAGGAAATGACTGAAGCAGGGTAGTTAGTTACTTAACTGAGCATTGGTCTGAGCTCAGTGTGGGAACATAGAGCAGCGCAGAATTGAGACAAATACTTGAAGAATTTCTATTAAACCTTTGGGGGATTCCCAGTGTTTCATTGTTAAAATAGTCCTTTCTTTCTTCAATTTGTGTCCCCCCTCTGTGTTAGGCTGAATAGGTCTCCATTGTATGGAAACTGGTGTAGATTCTCTTCAAGTCGATCTGTTGGGGAATAGGTGGGGATTACGGAGCCAGTGGAAGCTGGTGAGCATTGGGGTGATAGGCTGTTAGGGCTGATGGGTTAATGGGGGCGACGGGTTAATGGGATGTTGGACTTGTGGAGCCTTATGTGGTAAAGAATGTAAGTTGCGGAGTTCTGGATACTTTGGAGCTTATGGAGAATAGAACTGGGAGGCTGGCAAGGAGGTTTTCAGAGAATGAGGTGGCAAAGACACGGATGAGGGTTTGGGCTGCATTGGGGTGAGGTGATAATAGAGGTGCCTTCAGCCTCTCCGCCCCCATCCTCTGGAACTCCATTCCACAGTCCCTCCGCCTCGCCCCCTCCCCTGCCTCTCTCAAGACCCTCCTCTTCGACCGTGCCTTTGGTCATCCTCCTACCCCTACCCTCCCTGCCCTCCACACCTCCTGATCCCAACCACCAGCTCGGGTGCGGTTCCTGACTGTCCATTTGTGACGGGTTGGGTGTGGAACAAAAAAAACCCCGAGAGGCAGAGAACAAACTGGTGTTGGAGTGAATAACCGCTGTTTAGCGGGGTGGGGATTGGCTGCTGCGTCACAGTGTTGTAAATGGCCACTAGGTGGGCAGTGCTGTAAATGGCCAATGGTGCGTCAGTGTTTCCAATGGCCACCATGGTGTGTGAATGGCCACGGTGTGCTTCCAATGGCCACTGGGTGGCAGTGTTGTGAATAACCCTGGCATGTCAGTGTCCTAAATGGCCACTGGGTGGCAGTGTTGTTAAATGGCCACTGTGCAGCATTGTTGAGCTATGATGCCTTCTGTGCAGTGCCAATGTACTGTCTTTATCACAGTGCACTGTTAGGGTATTTACACAGACTGAGACAGTCACATTTGTCTGGTGTGGGACGGGACCCGCCCCGGGTACCGTTGGACTTTAATCCACTGAAACCCACGCAGATTGCCATTGCAAACGCTGCCAGGTTTCCCGCTGTTGTCCAGTGAAAGTCACCCCACCGATTAGGGTTTTGGTTTGCAGGGTTAAGAGGAGATGAACGAGAAGAATCCAGGGACTGGTCCAAGTTCTAATAACAAGCCGATCTGGCTGGCCCATCAGTAGCAATACCCTAGAGAGCTGTGGACACCCTTGGTTTAGGAACCAGACGACTAAAATTGCTGCAGAAAACTGATTCGAATCCTATTGTCCTTTGTCAGGTATATTGCCCTAGAGCCACCAGAGTCCTCTAAAAGACCTTCCATACCTCCTTCTCTCCACCCTCCACCACTACCACAGAGACAGTTGGGAAGGATAGATGGCAAGAAATAAGTGCAAAACATATTCCCAGGCTGATGTGATAACTCAGGAGTAATAGTCACCAATGAGATATGGTCAGTGCCATAAGTGGAATACGGGTTGAATTCCACAGACCATCTCTGTTCGTTTAACCCAACACGCTAGGGATTTTAAATAATAAATGATTAAGTTGAATTTCAATTTTTAATCAGACTGACGTTTAACATCCTTCCTATAAAATCTGAAGAGTATTCCTATGAATGTGAAGTATGAATGATACAAAGGATGCCAAGTGCTGTAGGCTCATGATTTTCCCCTGCTTTATCAAGATCACTCAATGATAATGGCAAGATATCTAAGTATAAATTATGGGTGTAAATCTGTTTCTACTAGGCTTCCAGGATCAATAGATCACATTTCAGAATGACGTGCTGATTTTATTAGCTGCAGATATATGCTTCCGTATGCAGTAATCTAACCTTAAACTGATGCACTTTCTGAGGATAGGCTAGCACTCTGTTTAAACAGAACTCGTGTTGACACTAAGATTGGGTCAGCACTGAATTTGGTATTGGGTTTGAATTGTGGTGCCTCCACTTAACCCGTTTACCCTTTCAGGGGATATAATGAGCACCATCTCTAAAAATATCCTGTTGGGGAAAGTAAACAGAGTCTCCCTTGGGCTTAACTGGCTCCGAAAAGAGGCTTGTGACAGACTGAGAACTACACACATATCCCTGTGAGCTGAGGGTCTGTAAGCTAGGGTTGCCCTCTTGCAACCTGTACTGAGCTGAGCTTTCTCTTTCTCTTGTTTGTTCACTCAGTTCGTTCTTTCATCTGACAGTGCAGTATGCATCTTGTGCGGCATTTGATTGTTGCTGTAAAGCTGCACTGTTATATAATAAGTCCCGGTCAATTAGAAACCCGTGCCTTTAAGCATTGATACTAACGAGAGACATCTATTGTTTCTTATTTTGTTGCTTCTAGTTGTGGGAAGACACAGTGGCTGCAATAACACAAGACATGCTGAACAGCGAGGACAGAGATTCACCTCCAGAAAAAGTGGTTTATTCCATTAGCTCCCCATCTAATGGCCATGTGACATTGACCTCATCCCTGGAGAGTAACATCCTGCAGTTCACACAGGCTCAGATAAACGCTGGCGAGATTCGATTTGCACATTACGGTGAGAGACCGGTTATGATCTGTTATCAAGTTACTCTCCATCACTCCATGATGCAAGCTGAAGTCTGATCCAATCATGTAGCAACCTCAACAAAATCCTGCAGAGCATTTGACAGAATGCTGCCATCGCTGGTCATCTATAGAGAGTAGAGATCTTGTGGTCTTGGACACACTGATGTAGAGTTTGTGATGCTTTAAACATTGCGTTAATTTTCGCCAGTGTCGATGGCCACTAGGTACAATCAAGAAGAGCATTGACAATAACACAAGATCAGTCTGGATGAAGAACCCATTCAGTCAGTCTGTTCTCCTCCATCCAGAACACCCACCCAACTGTCCCCCCCCCCCCCCCCATCACTGCATCAAACTGCTTTTTAAATGAGCCCAGTGTTATGGGAGGTGGTCTGTGTTTGTTGAATATTTGATTTCCAGGGTGAGAATCCCCTCAAGGGGCTTGAATTTACAATCCCCCAAATCACATTGGTCACTCTCATGCACCATGGCTGTTTGTGGGGCGTTGCTGTGTGTAAATCGGCTGCTGCATTCGCTCACATCACTTGACCGTACGTTCTGTGAAGCACTTTGCGATGTCTCGATGATGCGATAAAGCGCTGTATCAAATAAAAGTATTATTATATTATGTAATGTAATGCTCACCTTCTCTGAAAGAAGAACCAAAGTTGGTGGTGAGCGGTGGGTAACCCACCAACTGGGAAGGTAGAGCTGCCACCTAGTGACGGTTTATTATTAACACAAGGAATTGTTTTAAAAAAAGCTCAAAAGTTAATATGCCACAAACAACAACAACAACAAGATTACATTTGTATAGCGCCTTTCACGTCGGGAGGACGTCCCACTAATATGCTTTATAGCAGGCTTTGAGTCAACAGCTGCAGGTTAGTGGCTGGGAACTGTGCACTGTAGATAAAACATTTTCTTGAACTTTTAGAGAGTATTTGATACACAAGAAAATTAGCTCATGGAATCAGAAGCTGGTTTGATGATTAAAAAGCAGTGGTCCATGGAGAAAGCTCTTTCTTACTTCCTGTAAACCCTTTTTTATTTAACCTCAACTTCCACTGATTTGTGTTTCCTTGTTATCTTGCTAAAGATTTCTGTTCTTCCTGAGGTTAAGTTGATCTCATCCAACCACCGAAACACTGACCTTTGTTCTGCTTCTCTTCTCTTTCATTCCTTAAAATGGTCTTAAGATATTTTTCCTTTGGTTTACCACCCTGCCCCCCTCTTAAAGAGTCAGAGAGAAGAGTACTGAACAATACAACCACATAGGAAGTTAGGAGAATGAAAGGAAAAAACAATGAGATGCTTTTCACTGACGGTGCAAAAATACAGCAATAACAACTTTGCATTTATATGGGGTCATTCACACAGGATAGCATCTCGGAGCGATGCACAATGGCAGGGTTGGACACTGAGCAAGGGAGAAGGGGGAAGGTGAGGCGCGGTCGAAGAGGGTCTTAAGTTACGGTGACAATTAAAGACAGAGTGTATTGAGGCTGGGTGGATTGAGGCTGGGTGGATTGAGGCTGGGTGTTCTAAAGGTTTATTAGTGCAGTAAGTGATCAGGGAGTGTTACAGTTCGCCTTTTCAGTCACACAGTTCTCTCTTTCAGGGTCGCTGCTTGGAGGATTTCAATTTGAGGTGTCCGATGGAGTGAATCACTCACCCACCCAACTGTTTATGGTCAGTGCTAAGCGTTCTGACATCCTGATTGAAATAAAGGAGCATCTCAGGGTTTATCCAGGTAAAACGCATAGAGTGTTCGAGGGAGAAGGTGGGATACATCATAGCACAACAGTAAAGAGTGTGGGCTATCACATGAGATACAGTAGAGAGCTACAATGAAGGGTGTGATGCATCAGAGAGCATTGACTGTATGGTGACACAGAGGTGGACTGGCAGCTCTGTTGGATGTCAGGGATTGTTGAAAGTGGGGTCCAGGGTATCTGAGTGATGCTGTATGTCTGAGCGCTGTGACGATCTGTGCGGGTGAGTAAGCGACGGGGGCCTAAATGCCTCTTAGAGGGTGGATGACGGTCTCTGGAAGATCAAGTTCAATTTAAGGAAAAAAAGGTTACTTCATCTCAATGTTTCAGGAACACGCCAGCAAATCACACGCCAACACCTGAACACTGTGACTAATGATGAGCGGGCAGAGAGCTGGTCAATCACGTATGAGATCGAGACCGCGCCTGCTCTGGGCAGCATCATCACAGGACGAGGTGCCAATAAAACCGAGCAACTTTTCAGCTTCACCCAAGCAGATGTGAGTACGAACTTTTCTGTAGCTTATCACATCATGTCCTGAAGAGCTTTACGTGAACAGAGTGGGACAATGAGCAAGGTGAAGGGAAATAGGGCGGGTAGTGGAAGATGACCAAAGGTGTGGTCAAGGAGGTGGGCCTTCAGCCAGGTTTTGAAACTAATGAGACAGGGTGTGAGGTGAAGAGATTCTGTGAGCTTTCCGAAGACCTCGCTAGTGGCTCTTTCCCACTAGGAAAAACTGAAAGCTCCGCCACGAATGGTGGGTCGGAGTATGCAAACAGGTCGGGAAAATGTCAACAGAAAGGTAGTCACTGACAGGTTTTGAGTGAGAAGAAAGTTGGGAAGAACTCTACACATGCTGTACACCTTCACCTCCAACCTCAAAATAACACTGAAATAATACCCCAGACTTTATCCCATGAACAATCACATTTTGGTCCATCGTGTAGTAGGTTGTAAACCAAAACCGGGGACACCATAGGAAAACATTTGACCTCACCACAGTCTCTGCTGGTGAAGCTTGATGGCTGTAATTGTATTGTTCTTGTTGCTGAACTCAAGATGGGGGCAAATTTGGCCAGGGTCACAACACCTCATCCAGGACTGTCCCTGGAAGTTGGGGAGTATGGTCATCCTCGTATAGACAACTGAGAATGACCAAACTGGATAAGGACTCGGATGTGCAGGGTATGTCTGCTCGGCCATCCTGAGCGTTACAAAAGAGAACCGAAATGATTCTGGAAATTATGGCAAAACATAGACTGAGGAATATTGATTTAATGTATCGGTTTGTGTCAGGAAAGACAAATGACCACCTGAAATCTCATTATACAAACTGCACACTGAATAAATAAATAAAAGCAGAAGGACATAATTAATACACACAATGGAGTGGAAGGAAGGGACACTGAATCGCAGACTGTATTGATCCATTTTAAACCTGTTCACGAACACATACCATTAATGTTCATGTGAGGAAAGCTTGTCTTTACAGCCTGATTATAAATTGTACCTTTCATTGGGCAATGCTGATGGTGTAGTGAAATAATCCTGCATTTTACAGACCGGGAACTCGCTGGTTGGAATCCCAGTGTGCGACGAGCTTACTGGTCATAGCTTGGGCTGCATGGGAGGTTAAATTGGCTCTGGCCTTCACAACAACAATAACAACGACAACAACAACACATTGCATTTATATAACGCCTTTCACATAGGGAGGATGTCCCAAGGCGCTGGACAGTGAATCATCTGAGCTGCGGGCTGGAGTCAAGAGGGGTGGAGGGCCAGAGATGACTGGTGGTGGTACAGTCGAAGAGGAATGTCTTGAGATGGGCCTGGAAGGAGGCAAGGGAGGGGACAAAGCAGGGGATCACCAGGATGGAGTTCCAGAGGGTTCTCCGGATTAAGGAAGGGAAAACCAGTCAGGGATCCTGCTCTTCAACTCTCTTCAGCACCTTTTGTGCACATGTGTGGCAGCTGGGCGAGGTCAGTGATGGCTTCTACAGTGAAATGGTCTGTCGACACACACTGCCAAGGCTCACACATGAATAGTGTTAACTTGGGCTTGAGTGATCACCAAGGACAACCAGCACTCATGGAACCGCACCCTCGTATGAGATGGCTGGTGACGAGAGACTTAAGCAGAGAATATTAAAATACAAATTGGACGCATTAAAATTAATTTTAAAAAAAATGTTCCTTTCAAACTGCCTTTAACCGCTTGTCAACAGTGGTCAGTCTTTCTTACAGCATTTAATACACATGTGCAAGGCAAGAGCAAGGCAGGTCAAACATTCAATTAACTGTGCCACAAAGCAAAGCCACATCTCAGTAGGCGCTATCAAAAGAAGTAAGGCACTAATGGGAAGACAGTAGGGTGGATATTCTGGACAGATAATATTAAATGTGCTGAAGATCCTTTTTCATCCTAATCTCTTGTGACTTGACAGTGTGGAGGTGTGCAAGATCAGCACTAAATCGAGGTTTAAAACCCAACTCTCTTCCCACTTCCTTTCCTCAGCAAATTCAGGCCTGTTACACATTCCCTCACACCCTGTGACTCACCATCAGCTGAGCTTTCAGCCTCCTACTCTTTGGAACTCTTTCCCAAAATCCCTTTGCCTTATGATGTCTCACCACCTTCAGAGCTATTTCTGAAGACACTTTGCCTTGTACCTGCTGTCACCTTTACTCGACCACTGCTTCCTACTCTTTCCGCCCTTCAGATGAGGCGTTAAACCGAGACACCACCTCCCTGTTCATGTTGACATTAAAGATCCCATGGCACTATTCGCAAAGAAAAAGGCATTTTTCCCGGTGTCCTGACTAACAATCCCCCCAAAAAACTGGTCACTCACTCTATGTGGGACACTGCTGTGCTCAGAATGGCTGCCACATTTGTCCACAAATCAACAACAAAATTACATTTATATAGTGCCTTTCACATCGGGAGAGCATCCCAAGGCGCTGGCACACACAGTCACCACACTTTGCAGTATATCCTGTTAAATGCTTTGGGATGTCCTCCTGATGTGAAAGGCACTATACCAAATGTAAGTATTATTATTAACTTGCTCGGTGGCCCACACTGACCCTGCGATGCTGTGTGGAGATGTTCTCCTACGACAGATTTGGTGTAAGAGCATGTTACTAATGAGGCTTGGCAAGTAATGCAAGTATCACAGTTAATTTATCCTCTTCTTTACCAACAGCTGGAAGCCGGGACTGTTTTCTACCAACACAACAGGCCAAATAAGCCGTTCTGGAAAGCCCAGGATTCTTTGCAGTTCACAGTCTCCACTCTCTTCGCCACATCAGAGAAGCAGATACTAAAAGTGTGGATTTCTTTTGAAGTGCAGAATTCTGAGCAAAAGACCCAGCTGTGGAATAATAAAGGTAACTTGTACTTCACTTTAACCAGTAAAAAAAATCCCAGGGGAGCAAGTCTTACAAGAACAGTTGATAGGGTTCTGCAGCTCAAGTTTTAGCAGATAGTAACCATGACAATAACAATAAAGGTCATTTGCTGTTCAGGATTTCTGGTCAAGTCTATCTTGCAATCAACAAGCGAAGTTTAAATACATGCTATTTCCAAAATGTTTTTGTTATTAGTCATCATCATCAGAAATAATAACTGGCAATTACAAAGCAGCTTTCACATAAAATAAATGTTCCTATGCACTTTGCAAAATATAATTGATTAGAAAATGAAATGATCGTTATATAGACCAACATCACAGATAATCTGTGCTCATAATATCCTGTAAACAGCAACCAGATGAATAACAAATGAGTTAGAATTTGGGGATATATTTAGAGTATGGATTTGCAGCCTCAATTTGCACATTGGTGCCAAGAAATGAGAAGCTCAAGTAGACTGGGAGCACGATGGAACTGGCACCGGAGCACCTAGAAAGAGACTTAGGAATGCTATTAATATTGATAGGGATAATAATAATCTTTGCATTTGATATAGCACCTTATCATATCTTCTAGACATCCAAAGCGCTTCACAGAATATACTGTAAAGTGAATTGACGGTATATTTTGTGGGCAGATAAACCAGAAAAGGGTATATAAATTTCAAATAGAGCACGGTGGTTTTAACTGTTATTAGTTAAGTATTTTCTGTCTTCTTCCTCACATCCAAGCCATGACCCGCTCTGCCTTCCCTCACCTCCGTAACATTGCCTGACTCCGCCACTACCTCACCCTTCAGGCTGCTGAAACTTTTGTTCATGCTTTCACCTCCAGGCTCGACTATGCAAATGCCCTGCTTGTCGGCCTTCCCAACTCCTCCCTCCACAGGCTGTAGATAATCCAGAACTCTGCAGCCCGTGTCCTCTCCCGCACCAAACTCCGTGACCTCATCTCCCCCACTCTCGCCCAACTTAATTGGCTCCTTCTCCTTCATAGGATCCAGTTCAAGATCCTAGTCCTCACATACAAAGCTCTCCATGGCCTCGCCCCACCCTACCTCTGCGACCTCCTAGCCCCCTAATAATAATAATAATCCTTGCATTTGATATAGCGCTTTTCATGTCTTCTAGACGTCCCAAAGCGCTTCACAGAATATACTGTAAAGTGAATTGACTGTATATTTGTGGGCAAACGCAGCAGCCAATTGCGCACAGCAATGTCCCACAAACAGTCATGGATTGAAAATGACCAATTTATTATTGCTTTGTTTTTTTGGAGGGAATATTATTAGGCGTGTGGAGTAAGGAAACTTGCCCAAGGTTTCGCCCTCTGCCTGGAATTGAACTCAGGTCTCTCACTTACAAAGCGAGTGCTCTAACCACTGAGCTACAGGACTCCCTACCAACCTACCTTCTCCCCCCCTGACCCCAGCTCGGGTCTGAAATGCTGTATATTGTCCAGCGCCTTGGGACGTCCTCCCGACGTGAAAGGCGCTATACAAATGTAATTTTTTTTGTTGTTGTTGTATTTGGAACAATCTGCCAGTTGGGGCAGTAAAGATACCTTCTATGTGGATAGGTTTTGGAGGCTTTTTTGTGGGGAAAATAGCCTTTACTCAACCTGCAAACATAGGCTAAACTTTAGAGAGATCTCCGCCCCCCCCCCCCCCCCTCCACATGATCCATCCACTTCCTGTGTGATGTTTGACAGATGTTTCAAGCAGGACATTCCAGTTTATTGATGCCAGATGTTATTACTCTCTGTCCCTACCACTGACTGTGTGGTTAATATGATTCTAAGTAGCTTGGCTTTTGCTGCAATAATGCAATGTCTGGGCAGTGTCTGCCAACTCCCATTCCAGTGGATGTTTAGAATAAGAGAGCGAGGTATAGTTCAAAGGAGGGATAAGGTCACTCATAAACCTGGGCCGATAGAAAAGACACACTCCCAAACAGACACGCATTCAGAGGAGAGAGACACAAACACACACACACACAAAGAGAGAAACAGAGACACAGACACTCACAAATGCATAGAAAGAGACACTGGCAATCTCAACAGCGGTGGGTGGTGGTGGGGGGGCGCCTCCAAGTGGAGCAAAGTACCAAGCCTGTGTGACTTGGGTGGGGGGAATGTTCATCCCAGTTCCTTTTTGAGGGTTGTCTCTAGTCGTTAGTGGTCGCTGTCTGGTCTCACGCTCCTGGTCTGCTTCCCTCCTCCTCTATTTAATAAGAAAATTATACAATTGTAAAAGTGTAATAATTTCTTGGATAGAAATGAGCTGGTGGATGGACGATGATATCTCTTCCTGGACTAAAGTAAATAACAACAAAATGGATTTATAGTTAATATCTAACTACTGGCCCTGAGACCTTCTATGTCTCTGTTTTTCAGCTACTTGCTGGATACACTCTGAACCATCGTGGGGGGTGGGATGTGGGAGAGGCAATTGTTTTGTGAGCATTCCTAAATGTAAATACTATTAAGTTGCGATAACTAATACTCCCAGTTATTCAGCACTTTTCCCAATAGTGGCCTATCTCTCGTCAATTGTGCATGGGATGACAGATCACAACCATTTCCTGAGCTGGCGCATTTCTCAAGTTGGCCTGAACACCGAGGTCACATAACTGAAGCATATTCAGTGAAGTCAGTAAATTATTTTGCAGAGGAAGCGTTAGTCTGTAGATGATATATGCAGCCATTCTGGAATTCAATATGCAGTATGAGCGGCAAATGCATATCTCTGTCCTTTACAGTGAAAGCGAGCCTTGTGGAGAGGACTTTAGTGTATTTGTTCAGTTTGTAATTCCTTGTGTGTTTATTTTCACACAACCATCCTGAGGAAGGAGTGGTTAGATCAGCAACTACCCTGTGGCAGAACTCCACGGTTCCCTTTCAGTTAGAGGTCTCCATGAAAATGTAAACTTTGAACGTACTCCAGGCCCCACTGGTTGACATTACTTACACAGAAGAGTTTAATTGAAAATCAGCGTGCAGCCTCATCTAGAGGGACTCACTAATGGCCAGACGTAAACGGTGGAAAACCCCACTGACATTGAGCTCCACTGTGTAGTGGAGACAGCGTTCTTTACTCCCAGGAGGACTCATCGCTTCTGAGATGGATGACATAATTGCGGACAGATTGTGTTCTTTAGTTTGTGTTAGAAAACATTCCAGCAAAGTTTGGCTCGTGAACAAAATGGATATTTATTAGCTTTTGAGCCAAGAGTTTAATGCTAAGACTCAACCAGGTTATGGGATGATATGAACACTCAACTTATAGGACTGTGAGGTGTAGTTAGCAATGAGTCAAGCTTCACAAATCCAGAATTCTTCCAGGAGATTATAGAGCCACCAACAACAACAAATTTACATTTACACAGCGCCTTTCACGTCGGAAGAACATCCCAAGGCGCTGGACAGTTAAGGGTTTGTACCCAAGCTGTGGGTTGGAATCGAGGGTTGGAGGGTAGAGGGGGTGGGAGGGTGGCTGAAGGCATGGTTAGTGGGGGAGGTTATCTGGTACATAATAATAATAATACTTGGATATTTACTCTGGAAATGTTTGTAAGGAACAAAGGCCTGTATGAAATCGATCACAAATCAGTAACCTGGCTGTAGATTTAGAGGCTTTGCGAAGGGCAATGGAGTCCCTCAGTGATCTTCTCACAGCCCTGTATGTTGAGTGTTCATATCATCTCATAACCTGTCTCCCCTGAGGGGCGAATCTGACGGTCAGTACATTTAGTGGCTGCCGAGCAAGAACACCCAGCTCTTCCCTAACCTCTGGAACTCTCTGCCTTAATATTTCTCAGCCTTGCCCCAACTTTGCCCATCTTCGACCGTGCCCACGTCAGCTCCCCTTTCTCCCCGGCTTGCCATTGAACTCTGCTGATGATAAGCATTTCGAGACTTTATCCCGTGTGAAGGGTACTATCTAAGTCCAAGTTGTTGTTGGTGTTTGTAAATTTGGTGTTGAGTTTATAATGGGAAATAGGGGTAAAGTCTTGCCCATTTGTAAGTCTTTCTTGTGTAAGTTAACACCGATGAAGTGTCAACCGAGTGACAGCACACAACTCTCAATAAGCGGATTCTTCCTCTTTCAGACATCTTATGATTTCATGTTGAAGTGAGGGCGAGGCCTCTGGCACTGTGACATTGTAGATCCCAGAATAGCTTCTGACTTATTTTGGTTTAATATTTATTTTCTAGGCTTGATCTGCAGAATAGGGAGAGGAAAGTGGTGGGGGGGGGAGGGGTAGTGAAATTCATGCTCTCCCCAGCCAAAAGTGTAACATTTTGCTGATAGCCTTAGGCCTAAATTGAACTTGGTTTGAGCCAAGGAAAGAGTGGATTATGTCCCTCCTCAGCAGATGGACTAAGACAATAAGCCAGAGGTTGCTCTAGACCTACAATTTACCATTGTGTTTACTTCCAGTTGAAAGAAAATGGCATCAATTGAGGTTTGAAGAAGGATGAAGTTTATAAACAGCTTCACGCTGTGATGGTGGGGGTAGGTTGAGTTCTCTGGAAGGATAAGATTGGATGGTCCAAAGGGCCTTCTTCATCTAAACCACTCTTGCGATCTTGTGTCTAGGAGGGATGTGCTAGTGGTGAGCGAACTGCAAGGAATGCTTAAAAAAATAACAGACTACTCAGTTTCAAGTCATCAACAACAACAACTTTCTTTGATATCATGCCCTTCATGCAGGGCAGTGTCTCAGAGTGCTTAACTAACTTAAATCTGGCTATTTGAGAACGTTTTAGATTATCTTGAAACCGATTGCTGAAATAAGCTCCCGGAAAAATATGACACTTGAAATAATCTTGGTTATTTGCAAAATGTTCTGTTTTTCAGGTCTTGTCGTGTCTGAAGGTCAAAGTGCAGTAATTGATCAATCCGTGTTGGACGCTTCAAACCTTTTAGAGAGTATCCAGACATCTGAGCAGTCAGCGTATGATGTGGTGTTTGAGGTGACGGCACAGCCGGAGCATGGGATTCTCTCGGTAGCAGACACAAGCAAAGTCCAGTATTTCTTCCAGTCAGACCTGGTGGACTCTAAGCTGAGGTACACACATGACAATTCGGACACATTAACAGATCATTTGGTAATTCGAGCCTGGCTCAGTCCAAAAAGAAAGATATTCTCCAATCCTGCAGTTGATGGGAAAACTATTGTCATATCAGAGATCTTCAATATAACTGTAACACCAGCGAGTGTTAATCCTCTCCTGCTGTTGACACAAATCGTAACCTTGCATGTCCTGCAAGGCTCCAGTCTTGAGCTGACTCAAGACCACATGTACACTCTTGCCCCAGATAATGGACCGGAAGAAATTCAATACAATATCATTGATGATCCTGGCAATGGGTTCTTTGCACACAAGGTACTTGACAGCGCAGTTATAAAACACTTCACACAGGCAGATATCAACACAGGAAGAGTGCTGTTCAAAGCAACTGGCAACCCATCTACCAGCACCTTTCACTTCAGTGTCTCTGTTGAAAAGCATCTGCCAGTTACCGGTTCTGTCACCACTGAAGTAACAGCAGTGATTGTTAGTGTAATCCATAATAGAAACATTTTATTACTGCAAGGTGATGAGATGATCCCCATAACTAGAGAGGAGCTCTTAGTGGACAGTAATAGCAATGAGTCAATACTCTATAAAATAACACAGCAGCCAAGTAAAGGCAGCCTATCTGTGAACCAGACTGTGGTGAGCAGGTTCACACAGAAGCACATTGATGATGGAGAGCTAAAGTACCACATGACCAACCTCTCAGACTCTCAAGACAGTTTCCGCTTCCTCGCGCTGACTAGAGGGGGAAACGTTTCAGGCACAGTTAATATTACAGTGAAGCCCTTAGTGAGGGTGGAGCGTAACCTTCAGTGGCCCAGAGGGACCACAGTCTTGATTGATGTTGATACCTTAGATGCCAGTGAGCTGTTCAATAGATCCAGGAGCATTCCTTCATTCAATATTGTGCGAGAGCCCACAGTGGGAAGGCTGATTATAGTGCATGAACAGAATGGAACCCAAAGGCCACTTGGGAATAAATTCACCCAGTCTGACCTAGAGGAAGGAAAGGTTGCAATTGAAGTGTTTGACTACGGTGAGACTGGCTCTTCCTCTAAGACTGACAGTATCCAGTTTATTCTGACAGCTGATGGAGTGCCACCTGGTATAGGTACTTTAGAATTTAATACCATCCCCTATGTACCAACTCAACACTACAATGCCACATTGCTTAAAATCTTGTCTCTGGGAGACAGCATGTTGCCAAAGTCCAGTAGCAGCCCCACAGTCAGTGAAGCTGATAAAGTGGATCCTAACTTCTCAACAACTTGGAATCTGAATAAAGAGGAGAGAAGAGGCAGTATGTCAACATCAAGTAGCATCATAACACGGCCCCAGCCAACCGCAACTAATGAAAAGGTCCTCGTGTCAACCGACAATAGTCTGATGGCTATCATCATCACAGTCATTCTGATCGCTTTGTTGCTGTTAATCGCCTTCATAGTTGTCTTTTACATTATGAAGCGCAACAAAACTGGGAAGCACAACGTGCAGGTGGCAGCTTCGAAGCCCAAGAATGGGACTGTGGAGAAAGAGACCTTTAGGAAGACTGAGCTGGCTCAATCCGTCCCACTGGTGCCTGTCACACCACTCAACGGCGCCCAACCCAACACCAGCCATGGTGACAATGACCCAAATCAATTCTGTAGAACCAGCAACCCTCCTCTGAAAACAAATCAGTACTGGGTTTGAGGTGCTCCTCCATTCCAACAAACCCGCTCAGCACCCTTGGCTTGAGTAATGTCTTACCGTGCAGCCTGATTACTCAGATATAGACTATCGATGAAGCTGGTGGGGGGAGGGAGAGCAACAACAACAACTTGCACCTATATAGTGCCCTCCGCACAGGGAAGCATCTCAGCAGGCTGACACTGTGCCCATGCTTTTAATTCACAATAGAATCTTCTTTAGAGGGGAATGATCCTTCCTTGTGTTCTTTTGGGGGAAAGCCTCCTTGGTCTGTTCCATTGAAAAGAAAGACTTCTCTACTCTGCTCAATTCAAGTGAAGACCCACCTCCCTGCCCTGTTGGCCTCCTATGAATCATTTTGGAGAATGCTTTTATATGGTCGTCGGTCAACAAGTGCCAGTTGTTAGGCCCACCATCTCACATATTTTATTTAGAAAAATGAACAGAACCTACTTCTGGGTCTTTGGCAGGTTTTGTAAATGCTGCATTACTGCTGTCAGGTCTATATGACTGAGGCCTCCATTTGGACTAAGTTGCTGAGGATGGACTCGCCCTTGGGTGTTGTTTGTGGCGAGGTGTCAGGTCACGTTCCACCGTGCATGGGCTGAAGGCACATGTTCGCAGGGTGATGAATATTTACTGCACCGTAATATGAAATAAGCAGTATTTCCGCGCTGAGTTTCCTCGTAAAGTAGCTCTCCGCTTAATGGAATGGGACCTTTTCACTGAGGCCCATATACAAAGATTTTTAAATAACCGGTAACTTGTTTCATGATTTTTTTTAAGAGAAAGTATATTTGCCTTAACAGATTTTAGGATGAAAATTATTTAATTGCTGATTCAAGCTTGTTTCACTTGAGCCGATTCATTGTGCTGTGTTCTATCAACGGAGAGACGGTGTAATGGAATGAATTGTATTCTTGAGAAACAATGGGTTAAAGTCTGTGCATTTCAGTTTTTTTATACTAATTTCTGAAACGCCACCAACTTTACCTGATCTTGTGTGTACAGTAAAACTGATCCGTATAAATCAAATAATCGTCTTAAGTCATAGATCTGCCCAAGCCCCGTTCAAGAGTTTATATTCTATGCACGTTTGACATATCAAACTTTGTCATCGTAAATGTATGGCCCCAACTGATACAACTTATGTGAAGTTTACTGTACTGTCTTCTCTGCACTGCCATTGACTATATCTGTGTTCGCCCTCCTTCCCACTATGTCCTCCAGTTTATTGGAGCTCTTAATTCCTCAGCTGTAGAAAGTGTCAACAATCCCATTGCAGTGTTGTCAGGTTCTTGGGAAAAAATGACAGCCCCACGTGTTCCACAGTGTTTAGGGGAATGCCGATTATATTATAAACCACCTGAACCTCTCAATTCAGATTACTCCATTGTAATCTTTCTCAGGTATCTATTATTCTACAGAAAAACAATCTGCGACCGCAAAACGGCTGGTATTTTCTTTTACTGCGCTTGCTGGCTGCAGTGCTCGCTTTGGTCTCGCACCGTGCTGTTTTCTGCCTGCTTTCACCTCCTGTGTCTGTCTGCTATGTTCGTCTTCCTGCCATCCTTATCATTGGCAACATGCTCTGCCAAATGCGTGCAAATTGTATTCAGTTGCCTTTATCAATGCACTGTTTTTATTTTTTATTAAGAAAAAACATTATTGTAAAAAGATCTTGGTTGATTTTTATTTTTAGGTATAATACATTTCATTTCCTTGACCCTTTGCCTTGCTATACAGTTGGAGGCACATCACCATTAACATTGCACAACAGCTGCACAGTGTGACCCAGTGCAGTACAAGCGCAGAAAGCAATTTGTTCTAGGTCTGGATTTCTTGTACTAGTTTAACCCTGACCCAAAACCATTCATGTTTCACACCCAGTTACTCTGTCCTGTGAGTAGAAAATCCATAGTCCAAATATTTTACTATCTAGCTCTTGTAACACTACATATAAAGCAACCCCCGCCATCAGAATGGCAAGGGAAGGAAATAAGCCAACCACATGGGAAAACTCTTAGCAATTTGTTTAATATGTTTAATATCTCAATTGTTAAAGAAAGGAATGGCTGGAATCTTTCTTCACTGAGGGAAGCACTGTTTAGCCACTCCATTCCCAATTTCCCAATTCCAGTATCACAAGTGCACTAGGCATTTGAGGCAGCAGGAATAAGAGAGCAGATTCAGGGTTTTGAAGGGGAATTTCAGGACGGACAACAGGAAATATTTGTTTAGACAGAAGTTGATTAATTTATGGCTGGAATGGGTTGAGGCCAGAACATGGATAGCTTGATGCTGTCATGGGAAAGCGGTAGGATGGCTAATTTGGAAGGAAGAGATCCAATGTACTAAAGGATCTTCTTCATCCGAACTGCTTTTGTATCTTGTATCTGACTGGCATCAGTTTGAGTTCCTTCAGGAAACTACCCAGTAAATTGGTGATTTGACATTTCCCTTAGGAAATCCAGGATCTCCTCTTCTGACCAGAGAAATAGAAGACAAAATAGAAGGTGTATAGTAACCTAGTACCCAATCCTTTCATTCATGTGTTCTATTTATAAAGGTTGTAGAATTCATTCAGAGGAAATTTTCAAAGAGTATGGAAATACATACAGTATGTCACAAAATCATCAAAAAAAAATTCCATGCTTTTTCAAAGATTAAATGTTATGAAATTGGATATGTCTCAGTTATCAGAACTTCCCTGAATGGACAAATTAGTTTATATTACAAGGACCACGCAAATAATCTCTGGCCTGAAATTCCAACTAGCCTTACCTCGTTTGACGTTTTTAATCTTAAAATTTCCAGTTGAACAGAATTGTGGTAATTTTTTTAATTTTCCTTCAAAAAGCCTTAATGTGGAAGCCAATGTACCACCGTTCTTTAAAATAATTGGTTTCCAAATTAAGAATGAATTCAAGAATTTTCCACACTTCTGTACCATCTTAAATTTTACAGGAAAATGGACTAACGGGCTAAGAATAGGTGAAGTTTCTAAGCTGTTCATGACCAGAGAAATTGGAATCCGGGAACTGTTTGAGGTGAAAGAAAAGAAATTCCTACAAACTCACAATGTACTGAATGTCCAAGCACACATTTCCTATTGTACATAATTAGTGTATATGATGTACATTTCTCATGCTGAAGATAATAAAATTTACAAACGCAGAGCTTTTCTTCATTCACACAATCATATCAGTTTGGTTGCAGTTTAGGGTCGGAGCTTGTGGGTTCAAACCCCTCAACTGGCTGACACTCCAATGTTTTACTACAGGAACGCAGTGTTGTAGGAAGTACTGTCCTTGGATAGGATGTTAAACTGAAGATCTGCCTGTCTGTTCAGGTGGATGTTAGAAATGGTGACAATACTGTGGAGTTTCTCTGGATGTCCTGTATCATTATGATAATATATACAGGACTTCACAGGATTTTGCTATAACACAAATTAATACCCGGTAAAACAAGACTTGACAGCAATTACTTTTAAGTTGTTTAATTGGTGCTATGTGTAATTAACAATACTGAAAATACCGAAGTATTGTTAATTTTTATATCAATAAACACAAAAAAGGTGATATTTGGTGATGACACAACACTGCAGTCTTGATGAAGGGCATTGGGACGTTCAAACTTGCGTCAGGTTCTTCTTAACATCCGACTTTGGATCAATGAGGCCAGTATTGGTGATGGTCTAAGCTGCGGTTACAGTAACTTTAGATTCTACTGACTAAACCCTAGAGACACCTGAAACATTTATAATGATCAAGTTTCAAAACGGCTTTGGTGGAAGGGTGGAAAACAAAGACTCCAGGGATGGGTCTGCTTCTACCAGCCTCATCTAGGGTTTGGTCTCCCAGTTCTGGATAAAAATTCAGGTGCTCCTTTCAGGGATAATAATAAAACTCCTTGCGTTTGATAGAGTGCCTTATGTTTTCGAGATGTCTCAAAGCGCTTCTATAGAAATTGGGTAGAAATATATCGGACCTCTTAACAATGTGATAAGGCGTGATATCAAATGCAAGGATTATTATTATTATATACTAAGAAGAGTGGAATTCTGGCCCTTTGGTGTGTACATGTGAGTTAGCAGCTATTCTATCCTCTAATGTGGATGCCTTTAAAGTGGGGAGGTAAGGGCACGCTTCTGAATCCCAGCTGGCAGGGCACACGGAGTGAGCAGTGAGGTAGAAGCTGAGGGGATCAGAGAGGGCTGAGCAGCCTGCAGTGTCTCTCGGAGCCAGATGGTGGTGTGCATGCTGGGGAACTGATGGCCTGGTGCCAAATAGGACGTCACACAGCTGGTGAACTCACTGGGATGTAAATACAATGATTTGTTTACCGGCAGACAAAATGTCAGGAACACATTCCTCTCGTGAGGTGGGGACGAGTTATGAACCATTCCCTACACAAGCGCACACTGTGACATCACTCGCAGCCGAAGCACAAGCACACCATCAGACTCTGGGAGTGGGCGAGCTGTCCCTAACAGGTCTAACAGGGATGGCACCATCTCTAGGAGGCTGGGCTGGTGATATGTCAGGGACTCTGTGTGGCTGTTCGAAGGAGATATTCTGCTGAGGGGAAGATGACCCTTTTTAGATGATCAGGAACACCAGAAGACATTTGTGTACATCCCTTTCTACTGCCCCTGCCACGTCCAGCAGCCTTGCCTTGTATACATGCTCCTCTCATGAACACTCAGCAAGTACAACTGCATCTTGTGCACCCCTGTCAAGTACACCCCTATTGTGTACAATGCCACCATGTCTAACCTACTGGATATCCATGTACATTATATCCAGATTTAAAAAAAAAAATAATTTGGTCCACGATCGTTTGTGGGGCACTGCTGTGCACAGTTGCCAGCCGCTTTTTGCCCACAAAATAGATAATCAATAATAGTATATATATATACAGTATATTCTGTGAAGCACTTTGAGACATCTCGATGACGTGATAAGGTGCTATATCAAATGCAAGGATTATTATTATCCATGCCATGTACATCTCTACTGTGTACATTCTTGTTACCAAATTTGTCTTATTTAGTTTGTCTTACTGGTCAATTCCCAATAGTGCATAAGTTTTTCCTAGC